CTGTGTGTTAGCCCTGCAACAGACTGGCGACCTGTCCAGGGTGTACCCCGCCTCTCGCCCTATGACAGCTGGGATAGGCTCCAGCGCCCACCGTGACCCTGAAAAGGATAAGCGGAAGCGAATGGATGAATATACTTAATTAGTGCTGTCAAAATTAACGCGTTAACGCAAATTAATCCGCCATCACGGTTAATTAAAATTTTTAACGCAATTAACACATCCGGAGTGCAGAATGACTCAAAATCCCTGAAATGTTTCTGTCAACGCATTTCAGGCAGTTTGTCCAAGTAGAGTTACCTTTGCATATGTGCAAATAGGCAGTTGATCTGTTAGTACATAAGTTTTTTAAAAAGTTGTTTTTCACAGGAGCAAACCTGTGCTAAAAGACTGAAGAAAACTATTCAAATTCTCTTTGAATTTACGCATATATTCTTTGTGTTTATTCTGCATTTACTTCATTATATTGCATAAATGTCCGTTACAAGCTTAAATATAAAGTTGAAAATGTAATTGCAACCACGCTATTAATCAAGTAATTGCGATTAATTGCGATTAATTAAAGGAAATTGTGCGATCAATTAGTTGTAGTTTTTTTAATCTATTGACAGTACTAGTTTGTATATTTACCTGAGATTAGTTAACAGCGAGACGGGGTATGTTTCGCAAACCCTGACTGGTTGGTTCTCTGGGATGAGCTGAAGGAGAGAGAAGGAGGGGAACAGCGAGGCCAAGGTAGCTCATGCTCTGTGGCAGACTGAGTGAGCTGCTGGATATGTAGTAGTTGCAACTACCTACTAACGCTTGAGAAAAACAGTAAAAGTCAGTTGTGAACTGTGTTTTCCCGACACTGAGTTGCTGTGTGTGTGGGACTACCACATTTCGCAGCAGTTTCCCCCTTCAGCCCCACAACACCGCAACAGCATGGTTTGTTGAACTGCAAACGGCAAAAAAGGACTACTTGGGTGAGTAATGCCATGTCACTCCTTTCTTTCCACACAAACTACTGCTTACAAGCATTTGACTCTTAGATATATTCATAACCCCTACATTTATTCTAATGCTTTGTGGCTGCTTTTGAACATCTGTGCCAAATTTGTCTATTCCAGGGGTCAGCAACCTTTAACACCCAAAGAGCCATTAGGACGTGATTTCCATGCAAAAAAACCACTGGGAGCTGCAAATACCTTTTGACATCTAAAATGAAGATAACACTGTATATATTGTTTTTTACCTTTATGCTTTGTGTGAACAACTAATCAGAATCAGAAAGGGTTTTATTGCCAAATGTTGAGCAGGTTTACAACATTAGGAAATTGCTGCGGCAAACAAACTGTCATATAACGCGTAAATAGACATAAAAATAAGAATTTAAAGTGCTAAGCAGGTAGATATATACATGAGTGCAGGTGGTGATCAGTGCAAACTAAGGTCTATTGCTTGTGAAATCCATGAAGTGCTACAGAGAAAATTACATTTTATCTATGTAATTAACATATTTTTTAGAAATATAACAAAAGTAATGTAGCTTGTCCTTCTAAAAAATACATTCTATGAATTCCATACCCGCAACTGAATCATCAGAAACGTTTTGGGGTAGCTTATGTTAAATATAAAAACTACCACGTGTTTTATCGGGTCAAAGCACATTAGAAACTGTATGTATTGGAAGCTAGCTTTTGACAAGCATGTAGTAACTTCATTTAATTTTGGTCTTTTTTTAAAAAAAACTGAGATCTTAAATTGTTGTCTCTTTTCTAAACTGAAGGTGGTGAAACCAAACTTTCTGACATTGTAGTAAATGGTGTTTTTAAATATTTTTTGTTAATAAGTACTATATGCTAGTATATTTTGGCTGAATGAGAGCTACATGATCTGGTTGTACAGCCAATAAAAAAATCAGAAAATCAGTTCTTTTTAAACCCAAGATAGAACAAGTAATAACATTTCTCTAATGTTCTTTTTCCAAGCAACCTATTATGGTACAATATAGTCTCAGTGCCAGCGAGGCTGGTACTTGACGCGTGGCAGTCTTCTGGCAGTAGGTGAGCCAGTCTGAGTGTGGTGCAGCCTAGCAGTGTCAGCGTTCTTTTCAGTCACTGGGCGACAGCGTGCTAGATGAGTGGCATTCCAAATCTTTCCATCACTCAGCAAGAAGGCATTTGAGCCTTTGGCTTTTGTTACTGTTACAGGAGGGGTAAATCTGGGATGTCCTTTGGGAACATGGTGGGGTTTCCTTATCCTCACACTCTCTCCTGGTAGAAAAGAAGGTTTCCGTGCGTGACGCCTACCATCCGTGTAACATTGCATTTTCAACTGATATTTCTGAACTGAGTGACGTGCAATGTCATCCAGTGGAGACATAGCAGCAGGCAAAGGGAGGACATCCAATTTAGTACGCATCTTCCTGCCATACAGGAGTTCATAGGGAGAGAGGGAAGTAGTTGCATGTGGTGTTGCACAGTAAACTTGAAGCCAATCCAGCACAGTTGCCTTCCAAGGTTTTGACTGCTGGATTGCTGTCTGGATACAGGTGCGGAGGGCACGATGAAACCGTTCGATTGCTCCGTTTGCAGCTGGGTAGTAGACAGATGTTCTGCTGTGGGAGATGCCTCTATTCTCGAGGAATGAGGTGAACTGTGTACCATTGTCAGTTACGATGTTCTCTGGATTGCCATGACGACTAAAGACAGATGAGAGGAACTAAATGACATCATCAGTAGTAGCAGAAGGTGAAAAGGCAAGCTCAGGCCATTTGGAGTAGTAGTCAGTCAATGTTATGACGTATCTACAAGCAGGTATTGCAGTATCAAAAGGCCCAACAATGTCAAGACCAAGTTTTTTCCACGGTCCATCAGGCAGTGGGACGGGTTGGAGAGGAGCAGGATTAGTATGTGCAGTTTTGTCATTGGACTGGCAAAGGAGGCATGAGGTTATGGCAGACTGAACTTGTGAGTCCATTTTTGGCCACCAGTAGAGATCTCTTAATCTTTGTTTTGTGCGCACAATCCCTTGGTGACTTTCATGTGCCAGTGCAATCAGTTTAGGTCTCACTGAAAGTGGTGCAATGAGCCTTAAGCCTCTGAGAACATAATCACTTAGGGTTGAGAGTTCATTACGGATTTTGTAGTAAGGTGCAAGCGTAACATCAAGTGCTTTGATTGAGGCAGGCCAGCCACTTTGTATTTGTGAATGCAAAGCAACCAGTTCAGGGCAAGTTGAACAGGCAGAGTCAAAGTCCGCAACTGGAAGAGAGGACATGGCAGCAGAAACTTGGGCTACCATTTCATGATCTGCATCTGATATGGGATGGGAAGAAACAGGCAGGGGCAGACGAGAGAGACAGTCAGCTGTATAGTTCTGAGAACCTGGGCGGTAAATAACGTCATAGTCAAAACACAGGAGGGCAGGCAGACCAGTGGGCGATGCGCATGCCAGCCCTATTAATCCCTTTGGTGCTCAGCAGTGTTGTCAGAGCTTGGTGGTCTGTCCGCAGAGTAAAACGTCGACCCCACAAATATGTTCTCTATTTCTCTGCAGCCCACACACAAGCATAAGCTTCTTTTTCAACAGTTGAGTACTTTTGTTCTGTTGCAGACAGTGTGCGGGAAGCAAACGCCATAGGTTTTTCTGTGCCATCAGGTTGCACTTGAGAAAAAACAGCACCGAGCCCATAGTCACTTGCATCAGTAGAGATCACCACACGCAAGGCAGGGTCAAACAGTGCCAGTGCAGGAGTATTCACCAGGAGTTTCTTTACTTCTTCAAAGCTCGCTTGTGCATCTGAAGTCCATGTGAAGGTGTTCTTGTCGTTAGCACAGGCACGCATAGGGGCTACAACAGTTGCAAAGTTTGGCAAGAACTTGGAGTACCATGACACCAAGCCCAGGAAGGCTCTCAGAGCAACAGCATCAGATGGGGGAGGGGCTCTCAAAACAGCATCAATATCATCTTTGAGCAGGACAGTGCTAAGGTTTTGGTCATGCTCAGCTGCACTTTTACTGTAGACAATAAGGTCATCCAGGTAGTTTAGGTCTTTAAGGATTTCAGCCATCATTTTCTGAAAAGCTGAGGGGGCAGAGGCCAGTCCATAAGGTACTCTGCAGAATCTGAAGAGTCCATCATGAGTAATGAATGCTGTCAAATCTCTGCTATCTTCATGCAGGGGCAGCTGGTAGTATGCATTTGCAAGATCAATTGTAGAAAACATCTTTGCACCCTGTTGTCACGACCGGGCGGCCAGACACAGGTAAGTGGACTCAAATGCAGACACCACACGGAGGCTCGGAGTTATAGTGCACACGAACAATTTATTTGGCACTCAAAAATGGCACACCATGGAGGAGGTAAAAGAAACAAAAATGTTAATCGTGAACTAAGGGCGAGAGGGAAAATATAAACCTCTGAACATTGGCTACCTACTAACATAAAGTTTCTGATTATGGTACTAAGAATCTGTAGCTACAAACACACTGTGATTAGCAAGGGCTAGCAGATAAGCTTTTACCAGGAATGCTGAGAAAGTAAACAAGACTTGGCTAGACCATCTCCAAAATAATTGTTTAACCAAATAAATAAGAATCACACTGCGTGTGCAGCAGCACAGCCAAAAGGAAATAATCTCTTTATCGGGCTGGGTACGTTATTTGGGATTTTCCGGAGCAGGCATACAAGGTACAGGGTCGCAGGGTTTCTCTGAGTCACTGTAATGAAAGGAGTGTAGAGTCAATGCGTGCCCCACGCAGCAGTCCAAGAAGTGGTGGCAACAAAATACATAGTCTTACTTGTCTGGGTTGACGGCGAGGCTAGGAGGGGATTAGTGGTCCAAGTGAGGCTAAACCAGTTCGTGTACACTCACTGTGAAGTGTAGGGCAGGGAGGCAGGCAGGTGAATAGCGCCAAGAATAGTAGCAGGCCAGCGACGGGGAGTTGAGTGGTTACAGGCAGCAAGATCCAATCCACTGTGAAGCTGCAGAGGTAAGTAGACAGGGTTAGCGAGACAAAAACAGCAGAACAGGGTTTACCAAGCTATGACTCTCACTAACGTGGGTTAGCTGACGTTCCGGCGAGGAATGTTTGAGAACGCTGGTCTTAAGAGCCACCCAGCAAATTACACACAGGTGCCACAAACAAGGGGTGTGGTGACTCTGCCCAGTGATGGATTTACTGGCACGCAGGAAAACCCAGCACTCACCCGGACCATGACACCTGTAAGCTGGCAAACAATTCATCTACTTGTGGTAAGGGGTAGCAATCAGTGATCACAGTTTTGTTTGGTTCATGGAGGTCTGCACACAGCCTTATTCCACCAGTTTTCCATCCTGTCACAACAATTGGGGATACCCATGGTGATGCATCAATCCGTTCAATGACACAAGCTTTGAGTAAACGATCCAGTTCTGCTGAAACTGAAGCCCTCACAGCGAACGGGAGACGTTGCAGCATCTGACGGACAGGTTTGACTGTTGGGTCAACTTTCACTTTATGCACAAAGGCACGAACACAGCCAATATCTGGGGCAGCAGGGATGCAAGAAGCAGGTGTTGGGTTTGTAGACATCACAGAAGCAGTAGGATCAGTACATTGAGGTAGAACAGTATTGCCTGCAATGCTGACATTCAGCGCTTCCATCAGATCTCTTCCAAGAAGAGGAGTTCCTTTCCTTACAACAAAGAACACAGCTGAGGCAGATGCATTTCCTCTGCTCACTGTGACTTGCAGGCAGCCTAACACAGGGATTGTTTTCTTTGTGTATGTAACTAGTTGAAGGTCAGATGGTTTTAGTGGCGTATCACTGAAGTGCTCTTTGTAGATGTGGTTAGGTAGGATAGGAACTGCAATCAGTGCAATGTCCTTAGCTGATGAGGTAGGTGTGCTCACATTTATGCTGCATTGCAATCCTTTTGATGCATGAGAAGGATCTGTTAAGTAAAGGACTGTGAGTTTTGGTAAATGTACTTCTAGTACATCTCTTGTCTTGGATGAGCAGCAGACATGAGCAAAATGTCCAATTTTATGACACAGTTTACAAGTAGCTTTGGCAGCAGGACACTGACGACAGTTTGCTAAATGACTGTTTGAACCACATCTAAAACAGTTCTTAGATGGTTTTGTTGCATGAGATGGCTTTGCAGGGTGAGCATCATAGTTGTGTTTCCTCTGCATGGAGTGTGAGTGAGACTGCACAGCTTGGACTGGAGTACTGCTGTCTGCAGCTATGGATTTAGCTTGTTGAACTGCAGATTCCATTTGTGTTGCCTGTGTAACAGCTTTATCTAGTGTCAAATCAGGTTCAAGCAAGAGTCTTTCTCTTATGCTGGGGCTAGACACATGTTCAATTAGCTGATCACGGATCATTTCTTCTGTCCTGTCATTAAACTCACATTTAGAAGCAAGGTCTCGCAAGCTGGCTACATACTGGATAACAGTCTCATGTGAAGCTTGTGTTCGCTTTCTGAAAGCATGTCTTTCCACAACAACATTTACCTTGGGTGAAAAGTATTGTTCTAGGGCAGACAGCAGAGGCAAAAGTATCACCTGTATTTGGCAGTGAGTAGAAAATCCTTTGTCCCTCTGTTCCCAAGCAGTGAAGTAAAGTAGCTCTTCTTCGTGCTTCAGGCCAAGCATTCCCTGTTGCATTGATCACAAGCAAATAATTGTTGAACATACGCATCCACATGTTGAATGGCAAAGCAGGATCTCCAGGGCACGGCAAAAACATCGGTGTGTTGTTGTGTTAGACTACGGTCTAACATAACAACACATTCCTATCCTAATCGGGACACGCATTCGATCTTTCTTTTAGCATTTATGTATGAACACAATGGCTACAATGAAAAACAAAGATAAAAATCAGCCCAAAGTGGCTTGAAAGTGATTGCCATTGATTTTACTTTAGAAACACGAACAGGTAGAAACAGATGCGGGAAGACTGACTGTTCAACACTGCGTTGGGTTACCTGTTTAAGTTCACACTATGTCTACTGGCCATTCACTCAGCTTTATTAAGGGCCTTGGCTAGCTTTGTGTTAGCATGCTATCTGTGCTATCTGTTACTTGCCATCTCTGATTCCCACACTATCTGGTCTTTAAGTGGTGACATATGAATCCTGCTTCCGGGTTCAAACTACTCTGCGTTTATTAAGGTTGTTGTGTTTTTAACATGTTTAAATGCTTTGTATCTTGTTCTATTTAATCTAAAAAGCCCCTAAAAACAGTCAGTGATCACTGCCGGCCTCTCTCAGTTTTCATTTCATCCACTATTCATTTTAAAGCTCAGTTTCTAAAACCTTACAATGTAACTATAGCCCAGCCCATGCAGCAGTATATTAGTGACTAAAGACAAAAGGTTTGAGGTGTGATATAAACTGCAATGGAGTTTGAAAACAAAATGTGGGTGTGTGTGGTTTAGGATGTCTTTGTGCGGGGGGCGCAAAGATTTTCTTGTGAAACAAAAGGGGGGCCTAGCAAAAAAAGTTTGGGAACCACTGACCTCAGCTAAAATAGACTCCAGGTTGCAGAGGCACATAAGAAAGTGACGGGTAGATAATCTGAGATCCCAAGTTAAAATAGGGAAAGAAACAGCAGATATGGTCTGAAAAATACGGTAACTTAAGGTGCACCAGATTATAAGGTGCATTAAGCGAAAAAAACAGTCAGCTAAGTCAAACTTAACTCAACTCATTCTTCTTGCTTTCTCCACTTCCGTACTATTGATTCATTAATGTTGAATTCTCTCGCAACTGCTCTATTCCCATGTTGTTGCAGTATATTAATGACTAACCTCGTATTGTAGATGGATTATCTCAGTTGTTCCCCTGACTGAAGTTTGATTCGTTTACAGCATCCTGCCATGCCATTGGATTTGTCCCTAACAATCGGGAACCCTCACGTTAACTTTTATCGAGTGGAAAAAAGTTAGCGTTCATCCTCCAGCTTCACTGTGTTTATATTATGCTAACATAGCTGTGTTGCTAGTGATTACTTAGCACATCATTATATGCCAGCTAGTCCAACTTCAGTAACCCTACAAACATCATTACTGTTTAGTTTCCTGTCTTCATTGACGTCAGAAGTGATAGCAGAGCTGTACGTTTTAATTTTTCAGAAATCCCTCAGTCAGAACATGGTATATTATGTTTAGGTGGAAACTAGCGAGCTAACTCACATTGGTGAACTTGTGAAACATTTTTTTACATTTTAGATTATTTGTACCCCTCAATCCCTAGATTTTTTTTTCATTTCCCCATTGATGGGAAAAAAAGAACTATTGTCATCACATGGTGGAAGCAATGTCATAACATGTGCATGTATGGGTGCCAACGGAACCATGTCCCTAGTATTTCTTGATGATGATGACTTGTATAAGTACCAGGGATTTTGAATTTAATATACTGATATTTCAATAAGTCTATTAGATAAGTGTATTTTTAGTAGTAGAAGGCTACTAGTATTAAGTAGTATTAAGTTGCTACATTTGAGAAGCTTATAATGTCTTACATTAAAGTTGCTTCAATATGCTGTTTACCTCCATCTCCCCTTTTAATTAACTGTCACTGATTATTGCTGTCACTGTGTCCTGCCAAATAAAACTGGCATTAAAGGCTTTTCTTTTCCCCAGAAAAATGCAATTGCTGAGATTTATTTTGTTTTCCAGCAGACCGTGTCTGGGCTGATGCATACTATTTTCATTAGCTACAGCTAGGTACCATGCACGTGCCCCTCTGCCCTGCTGATTGGATGTCTTATTAAAATTAATTTAATTGATTGCCTGAGATTTATCAATTTATCAATCCACTGGGCATGCTTTTGAACAATTTTAACTACAACAGATAATAACTCACTTAAATGAAAAATATAAAGTCTTGGTTCACAGTGTTGAATATTAGTTAGCAGAGAGTTATGGCGTTATTTGTGCCACTATTCTGAGCGCACTAAAAAAAA